GCTGGGTGGGCGGAGTCACGCACGGCCATGCTGAATTCAAAAATGTACGCAAGCATGCGGGAAGAAGAACAACCCAATTCAGGGAAGTGGGGGAGAGGGTGTGTGTTGGGGGGGGAGAGGGTGTGTGTTGGAGCTGTAGTGTGTGTGTGTACTGGGATGTAAAGACACGCCGTCGCTTATTGTGGTACATTGTGTTTGTACTGGGATGTAAAGACACGCCGTCTCTTATTGCTGTACAATGTGTGTGTGTACTGGGATGTAAAGACACGCCGTCTCTTATTGCTGTAGTGTGTGTGTGTACTGGGATGTAAAGACACGCCGTCGCTTATTGCTGTACAATGTGTGTGTGTGTGTGTGTGTGTGTGTGTTGGGATGGTGGGGGGGGGTGTGTGTGTCCAGGACACATGCTTTGAATTGCGTCCGGTTCTTGATCAACTGGCCGAAATGCGTAGCGTGGCACCCTGTTGTTGGCACCCTCCCGCCGCCTGGCATCCCTTGGTCAGCTGATCGAAGGAGCGGGTTGGAAAATTGCTAGCTCTGCTTGAGGATTCTGACAGCGACCGCCAGGCGACAATGCATACAGCAGGAGATTGTTGCCGAACCCGGCCTTGGGGCGGCAAGGAGGGTAAATCCGGTCCTGGTTTTACGCTGGTGGTAGCGAAGAGGTTGAGGTGAACCTTAACAGACCAATAAAAGTGATCAATGGTCTTATTTCTGGACATTGCGCCCATCAATCGGGTCACATCAGACCGAGCTGAGGGTAGTCACAAGTTGCCTTTTCACAGGAAAATGTTTCCAGCCTCTTAGAAAGCTCTCCCCGCAAACTCTCAGAGCAATATGGCCCCCTGTACGGCCGACCTAACACCAGGGGAGGTGGAGCACGTCTTCTGCAGAAAGACACCCTCAGCGTGTTGTTGTCGGCGATGAACGTATTCAGCGATTTAGCAGAAGTTCAGAACTGCGAGAGAAGAGACTTATCGTGATATCAGATGCCTTGCAGCTCATTCGGAGTGAAGCAATTGGAACTTTAATCAGAAGAGCGACTTCTCCGTAATATCGGCTTCGTTACCTCATTCCCGCTCGTGGATCGGCGAGGTGCCTAAAGACGCATTGCGCAAGAACGCACATATAAATCATCGCTGAGCAGAACTCGGCTTCAATTCCTGATAAACTTCTGTAACCGACGTTTCCTGAAAGGAGATCTTTCGTCAGATCCATCAGAGCTTTACGTAGAAGTCTGCTAGGCAATGCTTCTATGTTTGTGTGGCGAGGTCATGTACTGTGGCGGTCACACAGGTGGCGGCTCCTTAAAGGACCCACCGCAGTCACGCAGCAGGGCGAACCCTACCTACCAGCAGTGCGGCATCTGGGGAACGCACAAACCTATTCCGCGCAGTAAGAGGGAGGCGTGGGGCACGGGATCTCTGATGTGAAGAGGGGCTCCTGAAGTGAAGGGGGATCTCTGATGTGAAGAGGGGCTCCTGAAGTGAAGGGGGGGCTCTGATGTGAAGAGGGGCTCCTGAAGAGAAGGGGGGGCTCTGATGTGAAGAGGGGCTCCTGAAGTGAAGGGGGGGCTCTGATGTGAAGAGGGGCTCCTGAAGAGAAGGGGCTTCTGAAGTGAAGGGGCTCCTGATGTAAAAGGGGGA